CTTTTTTCATCTTTGCTGTTATTGTTGGTGTGAGATGATATCTCATTGTTGTTTTGATTTGCATCTCTCTAATGACTAGTGATCGTGAACATTTCTTCATATGTTTGTTGGCTGCCCGGATCTCTTCCTTAGTGAAGTGTCTGCTCATGTCCTGTGCCCAATTTTTAATTGGGTTACCATTTAATTTCTTGACTACTGCTTCTGTGAGTGTTGACTGTGGATCCAAGCAAAATGAAATCCTCAGCAGCTTCAATCTTTTCTCCCGTTCTCATGATGTTGAATGATGGTGCAGCTGTGAATATTTTTGGCTTATTTTATGTTGCGGTATAATCCATACTGAAAACTGTAGTTGTTTTTATCTTAATCAGAAAGTACTCAAGTCCTGTTCATTTTCAGTAAGCAATGTTGTGTCATCTACATATCACAGGTTGTTAATGAATGTTCCTCTAATTTTTATATTATATTCTTCATTTAGTTCAGCTTCTCAGATTATTTGCTCAGCATACAGGTTGAATATGCATGGTGACAAGATACAACCCTGACACACACTTTTTCTGATTTTTAAGCCATGCAGTATCCCTTTGTTCTGTTTGAACAGCTGGATCTTTGTCTATGTACAGGGTCTACATAAACAGAATTAACTGTCTGAAATTACCATTCTTTATAATGTTATCCATAAATTGTTATGGTCCACAAAATTGAATGCCTTTGTATAGTCTGCTTTCAGACAAGATCTATCTACCATCAGCAACCTTCTGAATGTGGCTTGAATTTCTGGCAATATACTGCTGAAAACATTTTAAAGTTATCTTCAGCATAGTTTTACTTGCATGTGATAGTAATGTTGTTTGATATTTCTGCATCCCATTGGATCATTCTCTTTGAAATAGGCACATATATAGATCTCTTCAAGTCAGTTAGGCGGCAGTTGTTTTCCACATTTCTTAGCATAAATGAGTGTTTCCAATGTTGCATCCATTTGTTGACACATATCAGTTGGTATAATGCCAATTGTTAGTGTCTTGTTTCTCACAAATGCCTTCAGTGCAGCTTAGACCTCTTCCTTTATTACCCTTAGTTCTTTATCATGTAGTGCCACTCGATATGATTGTATTCTTTTTGGTACTCTGTGTATTCCTTCCATTTTCTTTTCTAAGTTTTTATTGTGAATTATGTGTTAATTTACATGGGTGAACATTAACTTTACATTCATCATATTGTATTTTGTTTCATTACAATAATCACAATCCCCTGCATGCATCATCAAACAACCAAAGGGTGCATCCCACACACCTGCCCCCCAGCCGCTAGCACACAGCCCCTCTCCTTCCCTGAGTCCACAGTACCCAGCCTCTCCTTCTGTCCTCGCACTTCACTTTTCTGGTTCCAGGGATCTCTGCTCCTGGACTGCAAAATCAGTTACTCCCCTCTTTTGTTACCAAAGATTTACATTTAACTTTTCAACACTCCCTGTCAGACCTGATAGCAGTCATTCTCTATCAAGCCACAGGAGTCTTTTCCTCCTCACCTTTTATCAGTCACCTCCAGACAGGTTGGAAACAATTCAGTGGAGATTTCTGCCTTTCCCTGCACCCTCTAAAGCTAGGTTCTCTGTTGAAAGCTTGTAAGTCAGTCACTTCTTGCCTTTGTAGTCCCCCCATTTTGGGTAGCCAATGTCTAAGTTCGCCATCCTTGTTAACCATGTGTACCCATCTTCTTTTGATGTTTTCTGCATCATTCAATATTTTACACCAAGAATTCTTCAGCATTACAACTCAAAGTATGAATTTTTTCTTAAGTTCTTTCAGCTTGAAAAATGTCGAGCGTGTTTTTCCCTTTGGGTTTTCTAACTCAGGTCTTTGCATATCTTATTATAATACTTGACTTTTTCTTCCAGAGCTGATCTTTGATATTCTGTGTTCAGCTCTTTTACTTTATCACATCTTCCATTCACTTTAGTTACTATATATTAAAGAGCAATAGTATCACCTGCAAGTAAAATTTTGATAAAGATGATTAAGAAATGACAGTGAATGACCAAAGGTTGACTGGATTCAGAGGAAGTCATGGAATGAGGGATATCATTCCTGATGTCATTTGGATCTCAGGTGAAAGCAGAGAGTACAAGAAAGATGTTTATCTGTGCTTTATTGACTAGGCAAAGGCATTTGACTGTGTGGATCATGACAAGCTATAGACAACATAACAAAGAATGAGTATTCTGAAATACTTAATTGTCCTCATAAAAATCCTGTACATCAGGGGTGGGTAATATTCAGTCTGCATGACATCATTTGGTTTGGCCCTGCCAACGGAACCACAATTCCAGCTGTCACATTGTATCAGGCTAGTTTTAAAGTTGATCATTTTGTATGCTTGTTGAATGACGTTATACATGTCCAAATAGCTGTTGGCAGAAAAAAGTTTCCCACTCCCACTGTACATGAACTGAGAGGCAGTTGTTGGAACAGAACAAGGGGACACTGAATGGTTTAAAATCAGGAAATCTGTGTGCCAGGGTTGTACTCTTTAACCATACTTATTCAGTCTGTGTGCTAAACAAATAATCTGAGAAACTAGATTATATGAAGAAGAATGTGTCAGTAGGATTGGAGAAAGACTGATTAACAATGTGTGATATGCAGACGACACAACCTTGTTTGCTGAAAGTGAAGAGAACTTAAAATACTTACTGATGTATATGGGTTTCAACTCAATGTAAAGAAAACAATAATTCTCATTGCTGGAGTAATAAATAACATCATGATAAATGGAGAAAAGATTGCAGTTGTCAAAGACTTCATTTTGCTTGTATCCAACATCAAAACTCATGGAAGCCACAGTCAAGAGTTCAAACGATGTATTGCACTAGGCAAATTGGCTGCACAAAACCTCTTTCAAGTGTTGAAGAGCAAAGATATCAGTTTGAGGACTAAGATGTGCCTGACCCAAGTCATGGTATTTTTAGTAGCCTCATATACATGTGAAAGTTGGACAGTGAATAAGGAAGACTGTAGAAGAATTGATGTATTTGAGTTTGGTGTTTGAGAGTAATATTAAAATTATAGTGGACTACCGGAAGAATAAAACACTGCCTGATCCTGGGCCAACCTATCGTTGCCACGCTTGAGCCCATTGATGTTGCCATTTTACCAATCTATCTTGTTGGGGGTCTTCTTCTTTTTCTCTGACCCTCCACCTTACCAAACATGATATCCTTCTCCAGAGACTGGTCCCTTCTGACAATATGTCTGAAGCATGAGAGACGAAGTTTGGTCATCCTGGCTTCCAAGGAGCACTTTGGCTGCACTTCTTCCAACACAGATCTGTTGGTTCTTTTGGGCAGCCCATGGCACTTTCAATATTCTCCTTCAATACCATAACTCAAAAGCATCCATTCTTCTATGGTCTTCCTTATTCACTGTCCAGCTTTCGCAGCATCAATGGACTCAAGCATGGCAACAATAGTGAGGTTGGCCCAGGATCGGGCAGTGTTTCTTTCTGCTGTGCATCAGGTAGCTATGAGTGGGTACCAACTCAATGGCACCTAACAACAACAATAACAAAACCAGAAGAACAAATAAATCTATGTTGCAAGAAGTACAACCAGAATGCTCCTTTGATGCAAAGATGGTCAGACTTCGTCTCTTATACTTTGGACATATTGTCAGGAGGAACCAGTCTCTGGTGAAGGCTATCATGTTTGGTAAAATGGAGGATCGGAGAAAAAGAAGAAGACCCCCAGTGAGATGGATTGGCAAAGTGGCAGCATCATACTTGGTAAAATGGAGGATTAAAAAAAAGAGGGAGACCCCTAACAAGATGGTTTTGCACAGTGGCAGCAGCAATGGGCTCAAACATTACAATGATTGTGAGATTAAGGCAGTATCAGGCAGTGTTTCATTCTGTTTTGCATAAGGTCACTATAAATCAGAATTAACTTGATGGTACAGAACATTCAAGACCAAGTTTGAGTCTGTTTTTATGTCTTTTTTTATTTTGTGTCTTGCCAATGATCTTTTGCTTTCTTTGTGTACACTGTACTTGATATCATCCCACAACTTGTCTGGCCATTGGTCATTACTGTGCAATGCATCAAATCTCTTGTTGAATGTTTTCTTATTCAAGTGAGATATACTCAAGGTCTTGTGAGATTATAGTGTTTACTCTTAGATCTAAAGTTCTTTGAGTTTATATGAGCAAAAAATATTTAATAAGGTATGATGAAAATTAAGGGATAGATTTTAAATGTATGTTTTAATTCCTAATGAATATCCAAGTTCTTTTGAAATAGCACAGTAAGCTCGAACATCACATAAGATTCTGAAGTGGTTAGTTGTTAGGTGACATTAAGTTGATTCTGACTCATGGTGACACTGCACAGGGTTTCTGAAGAGTGGCTAGTGGCCACCAACCTTTTGATTAGCAGTCCAGTGCTTATCTTAAAATGCCACACCAGGACTTAGTGGAGTGTATTTAAACCTATAAAATTATTATTTTATATGTGTGACAGAGCTGATCATTCTTGTGAACAAAGTCAGCTATTCCTTACTGGCAAATCATGTGTTTAATGTAAATTAAATATCTTTAAAAAATAAAACTCCATTTTCCTCCATACCCCACCCCAGGATAATGCTCCTGAGTTGGAAGAAGGATTTATTGTCAATATCACTCATGTGCACCTGGTGAACTCTGACTTCTATGAAGGACAGCCAAGTTTGAGCAGACCTGGAAGGGAAATAGCTGAAATAATGATAGAAGAAAATGATGATCCCAGAGGAATTTTTAAGTTTCATGTTTCCAGAGTAAGATGAATTTTCATGTATTTATAGTAATATATATATGTTTGTCCCTGCTGATTTGGCAAGTATTTCATAATATCTTATTTTCAGCCAACTAATCAGCTCTGCTTAGAGATATGTATATATAGAAGAGCACCCAAATTTGTCTTATGTGGTAATTCTTAGTTCTTTTTGAATGAGACCAAGGGAGCACACAGCTATTTTCATTAAATTTAAATTGTACGAGATCTGAAGAGCAATTATTCATATTTATATCCCACTATAATTTCTACTTTGAAGGATGACATCCAAGTATTATAAGTAGAAGTGATAAATTTAAAAAGTGATGACTAATAAGAGTTTCTACTTTTGTCTTGTTTTTAATTTACACTCTTTACTTAAAGGATGCTGGTGGAATTATTATTGCTTATGAAGTGCCTCCACCCTTGAATGTTCTACAAGTTCCTGTGGTTCGACTGGCTGGAAGCTTTGGGATAATGAGTGTTTATTGGAAAGCAACACCAGATAGTGCTGGCCTGGAAGACTTTAAGCCATCTCACGGGATTCTTGAGTTTTCAGATGGACAAGTATGCTACTCATGAAAAAATAAGGATTTTAAAGATATCCACCAATGAAGTGCATCAGAGGTTGCAAATACATAAATGTTCTATGCCACGCCCAAAAAAACAAAAACCAAACTATTACTAGTTATGTAAAAGCTAATTATAAGCATGGGAAGTGAACAATATAAATGAGAATCTCACCCTTTCCTGAACTTAAAGTTTTCTGAACTTAAAAAGTTTACAGTTTTTAAAAAACTTTAAGCTTTTATAAACTCAGTTTTAAACTTCTGTTTTTAAAACTTCTGTTTAAAACTTACATTTACAACAGTTAGCTCAGAAGTGTTTAAGAATATATAATAGTCATGAATTTTAGGGTCTTTTATTCTATTTATTTCTTAATGCTTGACAAAATTTACTTTTTTATAATTTCAAGTTAAAGTATAAACTTTGAAATCCAAATTTTACTTTAAAATTTCAAAGCAGACTCAATGATAGGCAAAAAAAACCCCACTAAATTGTTCTTAAGGAATTTTATATAATTAAAGTCAGAAAAAAACAACTCTGATATTTTTTATTTGGGCTAAGTACTCTTAAACTCTTAAAAATTACAAAACATTATCCAAGATTCATAAGCTTTTTTAAAACTAGGCATTTAAAAACATGTAAGAATAAGGTGTTTTCATAAATTTAAATTACCATCAAATAGGAAAGGCATGTGAACAACCAAGAAAATGTGTTAATAGCATGAAATAACAAAAAAAGATTTACACTATGGGTCGGAACTGACT